GGCTTCCTCCATCACTGGAGCAAGCAAGCCTCCTGTTTGCTTCAACTGCCTGGCTGCCAGCAGCCATCTTAGTTGGCAGTTAATTTGCATATTGCCCTGATTAGCCAATGGGAAGCGTGTTGGAGGTACGATTAATTACCATGTTTGCCTATTATTAGATAGGATACTTTACATTTCATGCTCGCCTATAATGCACTCCCAAGAGCAAGATACGGAGATTCTACCGGAAATGGTACAAAGAGTTGCAGCAAAGTGTGGACACTGAGGTGTGTGGAGACCCTGCAGTTAGGAAGGAAGGCCTTTGTTCTGTCCTCCGGCGAAGCAAGTAGCCCCTGTGAGAACAGTCTAAGTCCCATCCTTTCCTTTTTATTACTCAAGTGATGACTTTATTTATTTATTCTCAGTACTAATCTTAATTCAAAATTAAATGTCCCTTTACTGGGTCTGTGCAACTAGAATGTGAGCTACTTTATAGGAGAGACCACATCTGTCTTGTTTACTACTCTACCCCCAACATAATAACGTTCCCAGTATAGAGTGAGTGCTTATTAAATACTTGAATAATTGAATAATGAGTGATCAAGAGCTTTTAGGAATATTTGTGTCAGGCTATTGAAAATGGGTAGATGGAGAGGCTGGGACAGACAGGATTTTAAGAGAGCCAGCCATAAATATTTAATCAAAGGGGTTGCAGCAGTTAGAATATTTTTTTGCTGAAAGTAGAGTTAGAATGCTTTGCTATAGCAAGTAACAGAAAAATCCCATTTAAAATTGGAGATAGGATGAACTCTAGATGTAGCATAATTTATGGCTCAATGATGACATCAAAGACCCAGGTTCTTTAAATCCCTCCCCTTAGCTATTCGTAGCATTCATTCTTCAAATGTTCCCGTGATGGCAACCAAAGACACTCACTACATCTTCTTTTTCATATCTAGTGGTGGAGTGGAAGGGGGGCTGTTTTTCAAAAATAAACTATATGTCCTATCTTTCAGTTTCTTTAGGCCAACTTAATCATAGGCCCACCCCTGAACCAAGGGAATGCCATGCACCTTTGATCTTAGACTACTCAACATCTACCCCTGTAAATGGGGATGGACTCAGTGAGGGGTGAAGAGCTTAATGAGTAGGAATTTCTTAGAAAGAAAGGAAGGGATAGAGAGTGGATGTTGGGTAGAAACTAGAATGTTTAGTTTCCTGATCAAACTTTAATATTGCCAATGAGTCTAGTTTATACTGGGGAATGGTTTCCTTGGTTATTTGTTGCATAAAATTAAATATCCAAGGTGAGAATTATATCCATGAAACAAAGAGGAGATGACAAAACTCCCCCCACCCCCACTTGTGGTTGCCTTCATCATTCTCTCTTTGTCTTCTTTGATAATAGTAACTAAGCAGATGAATACAGCACCATCTGCTGATGATATTTTGGGAACTTCAGAGAAGCCCAAAATGCTAAGCCTCACAGCTAAGTCTTGCCCTGTGTAATTTCATCCTGGGCACCACAGGCCATTCCTTGGCAGAGGATACTGTCTGCTTTCAGCATAACTGAAAGCTCGGAAAGAGAGAGGACAAAACAACAACAAAAAAGCTGCCTTGAAAGGGATTTCATTACTTCACTGTTAATGATCTTTTAAACCGATCTTCCTCTTGTGCATTTGTCATCCCACCAAAGGGGAGTCTTGGTAAGAAGGCTCAGCAACTTGAACCTTCAGGAAGATGAATGAAATGGAGGTGTGGACGGGGACCCTTGTTGCAAGGATTCAGTGTATAGGGAAGGCCACACAGGCAGGTAGACTGTTGCTACAGCTAGAAATTTTGCTGCAGAGCAGAAGTGGATGGCTAAGGTCTTCCCTGAGATGCTTCAAAGGAATGAGAACAGCTGGAGGCTGGCCTGGCCAGGGTGAGTAAAAGGGTGCACTCTTCAAGAAAGGAATGCGTTCTAGGTGTCCAAGGCTCAGGGCTACTATTCTTATTTCTTTGTTTGGTTGCTTCACTCCTTTAGCATATCTGTTGAACTATGGGCTCCTCAATTATGCCAAAAGCACCCCTTTTATACTGTGAACTGTTATTGTTCCATTAAATGGTGAGCCCCTCTGTTGAACTTTCTATTAGGTGGCAGGTACTCTATTTACTAACTTCCCTCCGTCCGTTTTCTCAGCTGGGAAGTGGGGCTCATAATACCTATAAATGGAATTGTCAATAAAAGCCAACACTGTTAAAGGACTTACAGGGTGCCTGGCTCTGTTATATGTATTAGCTCATTTAGTCCTCAGAACAGCTCTGTGCGGTAGATGCTATTGTTTTTGCCATTTTTAAGATAAAGAAACCGAACCACAGAAAATGTAAGAAATAGTCCACATTCATACAATTCGGAAATGGAAGAGCCCGTTTCAATACCATTAACTATCTGGCTCTACAATGGTTTGTAACCATTAAGCAACAATGGCCTGTTAAAACATGTATTTAAGACTTGGTACGTAGTAGACTCCCAATAAATGTTATCTGTCAAAATAATTATTAGCACAGGACTCAAAATGTTGTGAGTGCAGAGAGAACACCTTGCTCTGGGCATCCCTAGATGCCTGAGAGTGCCTGAACAGTCTTGCATCTAAAAGATACCAATATGTACTTGTTTTATTGAATCCATTCTATCAGTGCAATTCAGACTTTTGTTAAGCCCCTCCCTGTGCCAGGTTCTGTGCTGAGAAGAGAGAAGACACAAAGATGGTTTAGACATAAACACATAATGTGATATTACTCATCCAGAAAAGCTAATGAAATGCTAGGCTGCATTATTAAAAAAAAATACACCTGTATTAAAGTATGGGGAAGATAAAATTGCTACATCCTTGTTCTTCATCACCCAAATCCCATACACCTGTATTAGAGAGGACCGGGTTGGCCTACTTGGCCTGTCACGTAGAGTGGTAGCTGAGCCGGGAAGGGGAGAGGCGTGTCTTCTGGGCTGTCACATCTATCCAGTCTAGTTGATTCTTGAATCCATGAATGTGCCTGCATCTCTCTCACTCCTGCCCTAGTCCAAGCTGTCGTCCTTTCTCCTGGACCACCTCTGTGAGCTCTTAACGAGTCTCTGGCATTTACTTTAATTATGTACCAATCTGTTTGATCATGCCACTTCTTTGCTTCGTTATTAAACCCTTCTATAATTTTTTGCTCTTACCACAAAATTCATGATATGGAGAAGGGAGCCATGCACATCTGGCTCCTACCTGCCAATCACTCCAGTGTCATTTATACCACTCTGGACTCTAGCCACATAGGTTTTCTTTCAGTCCTTAGAATACACTGTGCCCATCGCCTTCCTCATGGGCTTTTATATATATTATTAGAGGCCCGGTGCACAAAAATTTGTGCACTCAGGGGGGAATGGGGGGTCCCTCAGCCCGGCCTGTGCCCTCTCGCAGTCTGGGACCCCTCGGGAGATAATGACCTGCTGGCTTAGGCCTGCTCCTGGGTGGCAGAGGGCAGGCCCAATCCCTAGGTGCAGCCCCTGGTCGGGCTCAGAGCAGGGCTGATTGGGGAGTTGGGGCGCCGCCCCCTGTCATGCACAGAGCAGGGCGGATTGGGAGGTTGCGATGCCACCCTCAGTCACGCTCAGGGT